GGAAGGATGGGTGTTTTGGCTCATCCCTGCTTCAGTATTTGGTTCAGCCTGTTCATTTGTCCACTACTCCCTGCATCCATCTATCAGTACGTATAGCCTATGTGGCCTCACGGCTCCTGCCCTTAAGGAACACCTTGCTCATTTCTACCAGTTTGGTAGAAAACAGTTTGAATGAGTTCATTCAAAAAAGGCCTAAAAAACCACTAGAGGTCTTCAGATCTTTTACCACAGTCCTCTGGGACAGCTCCACATGCAGAGCAGGGCAGGGAGCACTGGCTTTATAGTCAGACAGAGACTCTGGGGGATTGCTGGGGACATGCATGTTTTTGGGCAAGTGAGCTCATCTCTCCAAACTTTTGTTTACTCATCTGTAAGTGACTAAGATTAGACGGTTGTATTTGGGAAAAACCCAGCACAGGACCTGACTTGTAGGAAAACTGAGTGTTAGTCTCCAGATCCTTGGGCTGCTCCTGGTCTTGCTCCCAAAGCCTGACACCTGCCCTTAGGAAGAGCTGTATGAGAGTTTGCCCAGCAGGTGGAGTGCAGAGCACCAGCCTTAGGGGGCAGCAGGCTGACTAGGGGCAAAGAGTTAGAGAAGGAAGGCCTGGTGCCTTGGCAGGAGGGTAACTGCTTCTGGGAAAGCAGAAATGGAGTTCACATCTCCATTTAGTGCTATCTCCATGAGGATGTACTGGGGAATGTGATCCAGGAAGATATTCCTCCAATTCCTGCCTTCCAGCATTATTTCCCAGGAGGGTCACCAATGTTGGATCATGGAGACTAACAACTAGAACTATACTGAGATGAAGGTGTTCAACATCTGGGGAACTCCAGGAGTGGAGAGGGCAGCCCCAGTAAACCAGATGATTACATCCAAGATAAACAGGGTGGGTGGCACTGCCTGCTGAGGGGTCTGAGTGATGTGGGTTTAGGAGGCAGGGCTGCATCAGGCCCCCTGGCAGTCCCATCACCTAGAAGCCATCCAGTCCACTGGTCTAGTAATGACAGAGACCTGAGTTTGTATCTTCAAATTGCCAGTTACTAGGCATGGGGGCTATTATTTTGGCTATGGTCCTCACTGTTCTCATCTATAAAATGGGGATAATTCCTACCTGCATGGCCATTATGAGGATCAATGGCTATCACGTTCATTGGAGCTACATGTATACACAGAACTCAGCCCACAGCATGGACTTTGCATTGGCCCAGACCCAAACTGTTCCAGGGAGATGTATGACTAGCAAATAAAAAAAATTTATGGTACAAATGCCACTATCTTCTGTGGACTGCCAGACCCAAACCTACTTATTGCTCTCTTTTAGTTTACAAGTAAAAACCCTTTCAGCTCCTGGACAGAATGAAGGGGATGTGGGGTATCAGAGTCACTGCTTCACATATGCATGTAACTCCAGATTACATGCATGCAGGCTGATCATGTGGATTCTGATATGCAAGATGAGGGTAGGGGTGGGTCTCTTATAGATGAGGCTTACTGAAGGCTCTTAATAAATATTCAGTAGAAACACAGACCACATCACAGAGAAATAGGCAGACCTTGCTTCCTGAGCAAGCTCATTTCTGAAACTGACAGAACATCTCTGCTGGTGAGTCATTTGTCTTCTTTATATTTAAAAGACAGGGAGGATTAACCCCAGGCATTGCTAGGGTTCTCAGATTCCTGCCCGCAGCGTGGCAAGGTATAAAATGCCCATGCTAGAGAGCCCAACTGCCCTTGGTTCAATTTCCATCCATTTGCTGCCTTGAGGTTTAAGTTACAGAAACGCGAAAACTACTGAACATGGTCTGGGCAGGCAATAAATGCTTGTAGGCTGATGGTATTGCTAGTAACAGCATAATCAGACCTACCCAGGGAGATAGGGAGAGTTTAATCACTGTCTATATTAATAATAATCTCTTTCTGTTTTCCTTTTGCTTCTTCTGCATTCTGTAAGACAAGGTGTCATCTTAGATTATTATTTATTTTCATTATAAATCAATAATCCACTGTAGAGACTTTGGAAACTGTAGAAAAATATAAAGGAAGGGAGGAAATAAGTCACTCATAATTCTACCAGCCAGAGGCCAACTGCTGATAAAATTTGGTCATTTTTCTGTTTTTAAAAATATAGTCAAAATCATATAGTTTATCACAGATTCTTAAACAAGACTTATAGAATTCACATAGCAGGGGGGCTCGAGGAGTTCATGAACACCCACAATCGCAGGTGTGTGTGTCTATATTATTTCTGAAGAAAGATCTACAGCTTTTATGAGATTCTCATAGGGATTATGATCAAACCTGTTAAGAATCATGATCAACTTTACATCTTTTTTGCCATCTATTCATTACAATAGTAATAGCTAATACTTATGTTGCATATTTACTTTATGTTTACACTGTTCTGAGCAATTTAAATGTGTTATATTTTCCAAAATCATTAAGTGCTTCCTAAACATTTCAGTCATATTCTATTTTATGCCTGAATTATAATTTGCTTCATCATCTATTATCAGATTTATACATTATTTCCAAAGTCACATATATTACTTTTTAAAATTTTCAGATATCAACATAGGATTATAATTATAGAACATAAAAAAAGAATGTTATTAACCTTTTCTAGAAGGCAAAGTAATTTTTAATATTCTATCTGTACAGAATGGTCCAGTACCAATCTGTTTTAAAGTTTACTAATTATTACAAATGAACTTGCACAGGTCCTTTGAGGAAATGTGTGATACCAGTGTAAAGATCCAGCAAAAGCTGGAATAAGGGGATGAAACAGAAAAAGGCAAGAGTAAGTCAAGCAATAGTGGAGAATTGGACATTATTCTGAAAAAAAGGAAAGCCACCTGTTTCATATTCTAAATTATGAAAAAAAAGTTTTTGTCCCCATGTAAAGTAATAACATGTACACATTGTCATCTGACCTACTTAATCTAGTGCCCCAGAAAGCTTGTGAGGCAGGATGCCTTCTTGCAGACCTATCACCCTTAGAAATCTAACATTTTGTGGTCTATGGACTATTTGTTAAGTAGTCTTACTCCAAAGGAAGAGTCTTCCTTGCTAAAGAGAAAGGGAGCTTTGGCCCCAGGAAAGACTGAGGCAGGCAGCAGCATTGGGGCTGACGCTGCTTCCAGTCGGGACTCAAAGTCAGGGAGAGAAATGTCTCCGAGAGGATCAGAGAGGAGAGATGACCTCACCTTTCATATGCCCTGTCTGGCAGGTCAATATCTTGACTTTGCTCAACCTTGCAGATAGTCTGCCCAAACACCTGCTCTTCTTAAAACATGTTCTCGAGGTGCTGGCAGGATATGGCCACTGGGATGAGCCACCGCATGCTGAGTAGCTGCAGGTCAGTGGCAAGACTGGCCTGGCACTCACAGGCCAATGTTGCTGCAGCTGCCCGTGGTACCACGCCACAGGCTATGTTACCCCATATCCTGTCTGTAGTCTTTGGCAGGGTCACAGGACAGAGAGACGTGTCAGAAGGAAGTGACAGCCTTGAAGGGCCAGAGCCCTGGGCAAGAAAGGCAGCCGTGTGGTCTTTGCTACAAGTCTCACTGCAGTAGCCCACCTGTGTGACACCCCATTTCAACCGGGTCTTCCATTTGTTCAAGGAGACTCCTAAGCCCTAAAATGCTTATCGCAGCAACTAAGGCAACGTCCCCTTCTGGGAAAATCTATTAAGAGACTCCTGAAGATCAAGAAATCTTCAGAAAATGAGGCTCTGATGGTGGAATGTCATAAACTGTGACAGATGATAAAGGGGAGAGTTTGGGTTGAGAAGTGAGGAGAACTGCCCAGTTATCAGCCATGAAGCCGGCCCAGCCGAAGTGCTGGGCAACTGTGGGTTTTTCTATACCTTGTTTCCCCATCAGTCACCTTTTTTTTTTTTCCTTTTTGTCTTTTTTACTGACCAGTAACGGGATCGCAACCCTTGGTGTCGCGCCCGTACCGGGGACCGGCAACGGGATCGCAACCTTCGGTGTTGCGCC